CAAAAATCTAGCATAAATACTACAAGTGTTTTGTGTGCATGAGTGATTTGCTTTTAAAAAATTGGCATATAAAAATTAATACTTAAGAGCACATATAAAGTAAACTGGGGACTAGGATTCTACCTTATCATATGCTTATCTTATGTATTAGTTATACAATTAAGGTAACATTCTATTATTTTATATAATCTCCATGTTGAATTTTTGTTTTATTTCTGTTGTCACTTTAATTCTTACATTTTGATCTTGTTTTAGTATTAATTTGTAGAAGAAAAATGACAATATTATAATTGTTCAAACACAAAAATTTTCACTCCTCCCTCCCTCCCTCCCTCCCTCCCTCCCTCCCTCCCTCCCTCCCTCCCTCCCTCCCTTCCTTCCTTCCTTCCTTCCTTCCTTCCTTCCTTCCTTCCTTCCTCCCTTCCTCCCTTCCTTCCTTCCTCTCTTTTACTATTTCTCTCTTTCTGACAGGGCTCACTCTATAGTGCAGTGGCATGATCACATCTCACTGTAGTGTCAACCACTGGGTTCAGGTGATTCTCCCATCTCAGTCTCCCAGGTAGCTGGACCTACAGGCACATGCCACCAAGCCCAGCTAACTTTTTGTCTTTTTTGTAGACAGGGTTTCATCACGTTGCCCAAGCTGTGTAAGACAATATTTTTTTAATGTAAGGTACATTTATTCCCCATATACCAAGATAAACACACACACACACACACACACACACACACACACACACACACACACACTTTATTGAGTTGAAGATGAAAGTTGCAATTTTTTTGTCTGGCATTGTTACCTGTCACCATTAGAATACAAATGTCCAATTGGAGACCATGGGTAATGTCTCCTAATTATAAACTTATAATATCTAAACTGAAAATATTACCACTAGGAAAAGTTATGCATATGACTATTTACTATAGTTGGAGATATGGGTTCAATGTCATTATGTAGTCAAACAACAAATGCAAGTTTATTTTTTTTTTAGTGCTTTTGCTCTTCTGCAGATTGTATGCTATCTAAACATGCTACTGTGATATTGGATGATGGGGCATAGTCAAAAATCCTTATAGACTTCCAGAAGGAATTTTGGTATGTTGGCTGGAGATAAACATGTTCTCACTCCTTTTCATTTACCCTTAAATGTATTTATTGGAACCTTTACCAATCTCATTTTCTCAGTGCCAGTGTGAGATAATCTTAGAGAACAGGCATTTTACCAGGAATTACTTTATGTTTTGCTGGGTGAGGGGGTAGTACTTTCTCATTATAAACTCTGCTTAAAGAGGCTAGGACCTTAAGAAATCTGGGTTTTAAGGATCACTGGTGATATATTAAAATTCGTATTCATGAAATGTTTAACTATAACTTTCTCTTCATATGACAGTGTGAATGTATTGACATAAGTGGTAATTTACAGGCATACCTCATGTTATCATACTTTGCTTTTTCATCCTTCATGTATACTGTCTTTCACAAATTGCAGGTTTCTGGCAACCCTGCATTGAGCCACTCTATCGGCTGTTTTTCCAACAGCGTGTGCTGACTTTGTATCTCTGTGTCACATTTTGGTAATGCTTACAAAATTTCAAAGCTTTTTAAAATTATATTTGTTATGGTGACCTGTAATTAGTAATATTTCATGTTATTATTGTAATTATTTTGGAGCACCATGAACTGTGCCCATATAAGATGGTGAACAATTTTAACCAAAAAATGTGTGTTCTGACTGCTCCACTGACCAACTGCTCCCCACCTCTCTCCCTGTACTTGTGCCTCCCTATTCCCACAGACACAATAATTTGAAAATCAAGCTAATTAATAATCCTGCAATGGCCTTTCTAAGCATTCAAGTGAAAGACTCACATTCCTCTCACTTTAAATCAAAATCTAGAAATGATTACGCTTGGTGAGAAAGGCGTGTTGAAAACAGAGATAAGCTAAAAGCTGGGCCTCCTGTGACAAACAGTTAAGCAAGTTGTGAATGCAAAGGAAAAGTTCTTGAAGAAATGTAATAGTGCTACTCCAGGGAACACATGCATGATAAGAAAGTGAAACAGCTTTCTTGCTGATGTGGAGAAAGTTTTTATAGTATGGATAGATCAAACTAGCCACAACATTCCCTTTAGCCGAAGCCTAATCTAGGGGAAGGCTTTCTTTTCAGGTCTATGAAAGCTGATAAAGATGAAGAAGCTGAAGAAGAAAAGGTTGAAGCTGGCATAAGTTGGTTCATGAGGTTTAAGGAGAGAAGCCATCTCTATACCATAAAAGTACAACGTGAAGCAGCAAGTGCTGATGGAGAAGCTAAAGCAAGTTATCCAGAAGATCTAGCTAAGATCATTGATAAAGGTGGCTACACTAAACAACAGATTTTCAGTGTAGATAAAACAGCCTTATATTGGAGGAAGATGCCATCTAAAACTTTCATAGCTAGAGAGGAGAAGTCAATGTCTGGCTTCAAAACTTCACAGGACAGGCTGCCCCTCTTGTTGGGACCATTGCAGCTGGTGACTAACGTGTAGCCAATTCTCATTTACCATTGTAAACATCCTATGACCCTTAAGAATTATGCTAAATCTACTCTACCTGTGCTCTAAATGGAACATTAAATTCTCCCATCTCAGTCTCCCAGGTAGCTGGACCTACAGGCACATGCCACCAAGCCCAGCTAACTTTTTGTCTTTTTTGTAGACAGGGTTTCATCACGTTGCCCAAGCTGTGTAAGACAATATTTTTTCACATGTTTACAGCATGGTTTACTGAATATGTTAAGCCCACTATTGACACCCACTGCCTCAAGGAAACAATTCCTTTCAAAATAATACGGCTCACTAAAAATGTACCAAATCATCCAAGAACTCTGACGGAGGTGTGTAAGGAGGCTAATGTCTTCCTGTCTGCTAACACAATATCCATTCTGCAGTCCATGAATCAAGGAGTATTTTCAACTTTCAAGTTTTATCATTTAAGAAAGGCACTCTGTAAGTCTATAGATACCATAGATAAAGTGACTCCTCTGATGGATCTTGGCAGTCAATTAAAAACTTTCCGGAAAGGATTCACAATTTTAGATGCCATTATAATATCTATGATTCATGGGAAGAGGTCAAAATATCAACATTAATAGGAATTTGGAATAAGTTAAATCAATTCTAACCCTCATAGGAGACTTGGAGAGGTTCAGGACTTCAGTGAAAGAAGGAAATGCAAATGCAGTGGAAATAACAAGAAAACTAAAATTATAAGTGGAGCCTTGAAGATGTGACTGAATTATTGCAACCTCATGATAAAACTTTAGTGAGTGAGGAGTTTCTTCTTATGCAGGAGCAAAGAAAGTAGTTTCTTCAGATGGAATCTACCCTTTGTGAAAATGCTGTGAATATTGTTGAAATGACAACAAAGTATTTAGAATATTACATTAATTTAGTCGATAAACAGCAGCAGAATTTGAGTGAATTGACTCCAATTCAGAAATTGTGTGGGTAAAATGCTATTAGGCTGTATTGCAGACTACAGAGAAATATTTCATGAAAGAGAATCGATGCAGCAGACTTCATTGCTGTCTTATTCTGAGAAATTGTCACAGCTACCCCAACCACCACAAATCACCATCCTGATGAGTCAGCAGCCATCAGCATCAAGGCAACCCCCTCCACTAACAAAAGGACTATGGCTTACTGAAGACTCGAATGGCTCCTAGCATTTTTTAGTAATAAAGTATATTTTAATTAAGGCATATCCATTGTTTTTTAGGCTTAATGTCATTGTGCACTTAATGGACTACAGGATTGTAACAAACATAATTCGTATGTGCATTGGGAAACCAAACAATTTCTGTGACTCACTTTATTTCAATACTTGCTGTTTCATGGTGGTCCGGAACAAAATCCACAAAAGTCCTGAGGTATGCCTGTATATACCCCGAGGTATGCCCATATATGCTTTTATCTATCAGATTTTATTCTGAAAAAGATGTGAGACATATACTCTGTTGTTTCTTTACTATTTCATCAGAGACAATAGCTTACATAGGACTGTACTCAGAAAATATTTGACTATATCAGCTATGTTTTGCTGATCTATTTAGAAACCACAAGAAATCATTTTAAAAATATTTGAAACAATAATTTGTAAAAGTATTTTCTATCACATATTTAATGAAGTGAACGTATGCTAAGATAAGGTAAAAAAAACTACATGGCAGGTGATCGTGTTTGAACACACATACACAATTTTCTTTAATGATTTATATCTTTGGTATTTTACTTTGGACATGCATGATTTTAGTTTCAGGACATACCAAAGAGCGAAGTGCTGCACCTACTCCCAGGAAATATGATTTATGATATAGGATAGACAAAAAATTGTTATAGACAATTCCCACTTATTGCCAATTTAATCTTGTATATATCCTTTTTTGTTATTTGGAAAGGCAACAGATTTCTGTTACTTTCTGCTTCAGGGAATTACATTTGTAGAATATGTTTCTGAAAGAGGCCTCTCTACTTTCCAAGATACTATAGACTGATGCGGATGGCTCTATAAAATGCTTATTCTGAATCTCATGAAAGTACCGTGTCAGCTTTTGTCACAAGTGTTTATTCAAGCTAATATGTCAACTTAACAAAGATAAGGTTATTAGTTGAACTTCAAGATAAAGCTCCAGAATGATCAATTCAAAATCACCTTGTCACTTCTATTGAAAAGGACTCCATGAAACATACAGTTCTTATTGACCATGCACGTAAGACAGGATACTAAAAGCAATTTATTTTTATGTATTTTTGCAATAATTATTTCATGGAAAAAATATTTCTAAAAATTAAATGATAATATTGAATCACAAATGTTAGCATTTTTAAATTTCATTTTAAAATATTGGGACATAGTACTAACTTTGTATGATTAACTTTTACCATTTAAAAAAGAACAGTTTCTTGATTTGAAAGCAGATATTAATTCCATTGACTTACATTGTTTCTTTTTTTCCCTTTAGGCTATCCTTTGGAGGTATAAGTTCTCTCAGCTTAAAGGTTCTTCAGATGATGGCAAGAGCAAAATCAAATTTTTGTTTCAGAATCCAGATACTAAACAGATTGAAGCAAAGGTAAACCCAAGAAATTCATCATATAACCCCTCTAAACCACATTAATGTCATTAAGGAACAAAGAGGGGAAACCTTTGGGGAATCACAAGAGCAAAAACACACATTCTCTGCTCATCTTGAAATATCCCTCATGTCCAGAAGAATAAACTTACTTTAAGATTTTATTGGCAAATTTTCACTTAAAGGCAGCACTTAAATTACACAAAACTAATTGCATTTCTTAGTTTTAATTCCTTATGAACTGCATTTGTGTCAAACTAAAATAACATCCTGGGAACTAAAGCAGTCCTTTGGTGGTTTCATTCTAAATAATAATTAAAAATACTTTGTAAAAATCTGACTTTATATTTACATAATTTTATATATTTACATTTTATTTATATATATATTTTTATACATTCATAAATCTGCCTTTTTATTATCTTAATATAAAATTGACAATAACAATGTTTGCATTAGAATGAATTATAAATGCATTATCTGAGATGGGGAAAAGGATAAATAACAAATACAAAATGAAAAATTATATCTATGAACATGAAAGCTCAATATAATTTTTCAACTATGAATTAAAATTACCATGTTTCTATTATACCCCTTTACTTATTAAATTCAGGGATAAGGAGCCTTAGCCTGACATTCAGAACCTTCCCAGGAATGTCCCTTGATGATATTATAGGCAAAGTCTCCTGTAACACTGCTCTCCTTCTTTTAACAAGGTGACTCATTGTAGCCTTATGTATCTTCTGCTTTTCTCTTAACTGTTTTCCTGAACTTTTTGTCTGAGTATCTCTGGAGATGTCCCATTCTTGTCTCTTACTTGTCTTTGGACTTGTCTTTTCTGCCTCTTCCTAGCTCACAGGTTATGTAATGTGGGAACTGTATCGTTTCTACAGCGAGCTCCCTTGCCACTGCATGCATTGATGTTTCCAGGGGGTGGCCTCACTTTGTCTCCCATCAGTTTAGACAAATGCTTTGATAACTTCTTCCACTCCCTTTACTTTACATGCCTCATAAATTTTTAACTTAGAATTCTAACACAACCTCTTCCCTGAATATAGACCGATCTCTGCACCGGCCCTTTCTCCACTTCTCGCTACTACTCCTCTTCTCCCACCTCAGCTACCACTGATCAATCATTTACTTTGTGCCAACCATTTATTCCGATAATATCAAAGAATGCATTACTCTTGTCAAAAATGTTTTACCTTTAGCTCTTTGTATATTTCTTAATCTTTCAAAGCCCAGCCAAATTTTAATACTGGTGAAAGATGTTAATATTGTCAGTTCTGTATTATTCTGGCATTTATTCTGATGGGGAACCTCAACCACCAGCTGCTGACAGCAGCATAGTATTCAGTTACTTACCCCAACACTTTTTAATGAGTCAACAAACCCTTTGCAAAGGAACAAGAGTGATAAATGTAATTTAATGGCTACTAACTATGGTATTTAGATGTTAATTTAGTGTAGCATGTATTATACATGCAATTAATTATACTGACAAGTTTACTAGAAATTACCTATCAGCTGATAAGTATTATTCATTCTTGTAATTTTTGTGTTTTAAAGTTTTCTCTCATATGTAATTCATTAAGAGGTAGTGTAAGAAAAGATATTTGGTTGAGTGAAATTCTCAAATTGATAGGAAGTAATTATAGAATAGAGAAAAAGTAGTCTTAAAAATAATGAGATTATGACATTTGGTGAGTTGTTGAAATTCTTTAAAGTCAGCATCTCTCTTTATAAAATAAAAGAAAATAATATCTCCATGGGTAATACTGAAAATATCCAGTAAAATATGACGACTATTTAAACAACAAATAATGCTAGCCAATCAGAATGTTGGCCAGACCTACATAATTGTTTAGCCGTACTTGTGCATATCACCTGAACATTACCTCTGCTGACATAAAATTGTGTAAGAACTGAAAGCAGGGCTTTTGCTAACTATTGTATAATCTCTATAACCACGACTTGTGAGCAGTAAGCTAACATACCATCACAGGAGCAAAGCAATTGTAGTGTGGATGTTCTTGTGTGGACGTAAGCTTTTATTTCTCTGGGATAAATGCCCAGAAGTGCAAATTGCACCATAGAATAGAAAATGTTTGTTTAGTTTTAAATAAAATTCCAAATTATATTCTATAGTGGCTACAGAATATAGATAACATTTTATATTCTACCAATAATTATAAAAGATCCCGTTTCTCTACATCCCTGCTAGGTTGGGGTATTTTCACTTAAAATTTTGGTTCTGCTCATCATAGTCTTCATTTACATTTCCCTCAAGTCTGATAGTGATGAACAACTTTTTATATGCCTATTAGCTAGCTATATATGTTATATCCTCTTTGTTAAGGAGATTTCTCTTCCTGTTTCTTGCCCATGTTCTGACAATATTGTTATATTATTATTTTTTTGGTGCCTTCTCTCTATTTTCCTGTTAACTCTGCTAGAGGCTTTTCAAAGAACCACAGTAATTTTTACTGATTTTTATATTGTGGTCTGTAATCCATTCAATGAATTCTGCTCTTTTAATATTTGCCTATTTTTTAATTGCTTTGACTTTTATATTGCTCTTATTTTTAAATTTTTTGAGGTAATATTTTAGATTTCTGATTTGAAATGTCCTTTCTAATATAGGATTTAGTTCTATAATTTCCTTGTTAACACTGCATTTGCTGCATCCCCAAAATTCTGACATCTTGTGTTTCTATTTTCATCAGTTCAATATGTTTTTATTTCCTTTAAGTCTTTCGATTTGACAAATGGATTTTTTTCCTTTCCTTTTTAAAATAGACTTTAGGTTTTCAGAGCAGTTTTAAGTTCACAGCAAAGTTGCATGTAGGATACAAAGATTTCCTGTATACCACCTGTCCCAACACAAGCACAGCCCCCTCTGTAGTCAACATCCCCCCCCTAGAGTGGCACATTAGTTATAGCTGATAAATTTACCGTGACACATCATTATCACCCAGAATCCATGGTTTACATTAGAGTTCACTCTTGGTGTTGTGTATGTTATGGGCTTTGATATGTATAGTGGCAGGTATCTGCCATTATAGTATCATAGTCATTTCACTACCCTAAACATCTTTAGTGCTCTTCCTATTCACTCCTACCTTCCCCCAACCCCAAGAAACCACTCATTTTACAAACTTGTCTCCATAGTTTTGCTTTTTTCAAAATGTCATATAGTTGTATCATACAATAGTTACCTTTTTCACATTGACTTATTTTACTTAGTGATATGACTTTAAGTTTCCTCCATGTCTTTTCATGACTTAATAACTGATTTCTTTTTAATACGGAACAATATTCAATTTTCTGGCTGTATAACAGTTCATTGATCCATTCACTTGCAGACAGACGTCTTTGTTGCTTCCATGTTTCATAAATTATAAACAAAACTGTTCTAAACATCCATATTCAGGTTTTGAGTGGACATAAGTTTTTAACTTCTTTGGGTAATATCATAGAGTGTTATTTCTAGATCATACGGCAAAAGAGTGTTTAGTTTTTTTAAAACTGCCGAACTGTCTTCCAAAGTAATTGTAGAACTTTCCATCTCCATCACCTGTGCATGAAAGTTGCTTTTGCTCCACAATCTCACCAGTATCTGTTGTTGTCCATGTTCTGGATTTGGACCATTCTAATACGCATGTAGTGGTATCTTATTATTGTTTTAATTTGTATTTACCTGATGATATACAATGGGGGGCATATCTTCATATGCTTATTTTCATCTGTATATATATTTTTGGTAAGATGTCTGTTAAGGTTTCTGGCCCATTTTTAATTGGAATTTTTGTTTTGATATCATTGAGTTTTAACAGTTCTTTGCATATTTTCATTAGCATCTTTTACCTCATATGTTGTCTGCAAATATTTTTGTCCAATCTGCAGTTTGTCTTTTCACTCTCTTGAGAATGTCTTTCATAGAGCAGAAAGTTTTAATTTTAATAAGGTCCAGTTTATCAATCATTTCTTTTGTGGATCATGCCTTTGGCATAGAATCTAAAAAGTCATGGACAAAGCGAAGGTCATCTGGACTTTGTACTGTGTTATCATCTGGAAGTTTTTATATTACTGTGTTTTACAATTGGAGCTGTGTTCCATTTGGAATTAATTTTTGTGAAGGGTGTACGATTTCTGTCTAAGTTCTTTCTGTTTTTTGCATTGCATGTGGATGTCCAATTTTTCCAGCATCATTTGTTGAAAAGGCTATATTTTCTCCATTGTATTTTTTTGCTCCTTAGTCAAAAATTAGTTGACTATATTTATGTGGGTCTATTTCTAGGCTTTCTATTCTGTTCCATTGATCTATATGTCTGTTTCTTTCCCAAAATCACGCTGTCTTTATGACTGTAGCTTAGAGTATGTCTTCAAGTTTGATAGTATTAATCCTTCAACTTCCATCCTGTTTTTCAATATTGTGTTTGCTATTCTGGGTCTTTTGCCTCTCTCTATATGTTTTAGAATCAATTTGTCAGTATCCAAAATTACTTGCTGGAATTTTGATTGGAATTTTATTTAATCTATAGCTCCAGTTTGGAATAACTGACATCCAGACAATATTGAGTCTTCCTGTCCATGAACATGAAGTATATTCCATTTATTTAGCTCTTCTTTGATTTATCAGAGCCTGATAGTTTTCCTCTTATAGATTTTTTGTTTATTTAGTTAGTTTTATATTAACTTACCTGACATGTGATTGAGGATATCTTTCCTTTTTTTATAATATTAGTAGAAAATTTTGGATTTCCCACCCTTAAGTATGATATCAGCTCTTGGTTTAGTAGGTAATTGTTATCAAGTTGAGGATGTTCCCCATCTATTCCTAGTTCACTGAGAGTTTTTATCATGCATGAGTGTCAGATGAGTTTTCTAGATCTATTGATATGTCATGTGATTTTTCTTCTTTAGCCTGTTGTTTTGATGTAATACATTAATTGAATTTCAAATTTTGTGAAAGCCTTGCAAATAAACTATAATAG